TGTCTGTCTGTTCCTGTGTCCTTCTGTCTGTGCATCCATCTATCTCTGTATCTGTCTGTCCGTGTGTCCATGTGTCTGTCCATGAGACTCCCTGTGCCCCTGCGTCCATGTGTGCCTGTCCATCTGTCTACCCATGAGTCCATGTGTCCATTTGTCTGTCCCTGCGTCTGTCTGTTCACGTGTCCATCAGTCTGTCCATCTGTCTGTCCATCCATATGCCTTGTCTGTCTGTTGGTTTGTCTGTGTCCACCTGTGTGTCCATCTGCCTGTCCATGCGTCCATCTATCCGTGTATCCATCTGCCTGTCCCTGTGTCTGACAGTCTGTCTATCTGTTTGTGTGTTTATGTGTCCATCCGTCTATCAGCCTGTCCATTTGTCCATGTGTCTGTCCGTGTGTCCGGTGTGTGTCCATCTGTCTGTCTCCAGGTCCATTTGTGTGTAGGTCTGTGTGTCTCCAAGTGTCTGTCTGTGTGTCCCTGTCTCTCTGTGCCCACATCCCAGTGTCCGCACTCCCTCACCTGTGCCGGCTGTCCTGGTGTCCCTGGACACACTCTGGGCTGGGCCTTGCTGGGCTGAGCTTGGGCTGCCCCAGGCCCAGGGTGTTGAACTGGAACCTGAGGGGGGTCACTGTGTTGTGTTTAAAGGTGACCGAGAGGACGCGCCGGCTCCAGCAGAAACTGGAGGAGAAGCAGGCGGAGCGCCTGAGATCCATCAGGGAGACGGAAAGCCAGGTAAGGCCTTACAAGGCTCCAGGTTGGGGCTGTTCTGTAGCACAGCGAGTCCAACCCCCCAGGGATCCACCTTTATTGCTCCCTCAGCCCCCCACCTCAGCACCCAACCCCCAGGGATCCATCTTTATTCCACCCTCAGCCACCCCACCCCAGCACGCAACCCCCACACGGCCCCTCAAAGCAGCCCTGGCTCATCCCAGAGCTCGTGTGTGGGAATGACACAAGTCTCTGTCTGCAGCTCCAGCAGCAGGCACTGGAGGAGTACGAGGAGAAGGTGAGAGCTCTGAACATGGAGGTGCAGGAGATGGTGAAGAACTACACCAAAGCCGGCTTTCCTGCAGAGCCACGGACTGGGCAAGCAGGTCAGAGCGTTCCTGAGGGAGAACGAGGCTCTCCAGACCAACTGGAAACAAATGTCCCAGTGGCGGAGGTGTCCGGGCTTACACTGGCCATGCCTGAGCTCCCGGGAGCTGGAACGGATGTGGAGATTGAAGAGAGTGTGTTCTGAGACAAGTCCCTTCCTTACTGTTCATTGCAGGAAGAGCTGTGGAAGTAAATGGTGAAGTTAAATACCAGCTTCCTAAAGTACTGCTATCCCTCCCTTTCCACTCAGGGAGCTCCTGAAATCCTTCAGCAAAGCACTTACTTTGTTATCCCAGGTATTTGGAAGTTGTCTGGAGAGCTCACCCTCCAGAGCGCTCCCCTCCCTGTGTCCCCCAGCCTGAGCTCTGAGCTATGTCAGCAGTGGGATAGGGCCTGTGCCTGCAGACCGGCTCCAGGTTGGCATCACAGCAGCAGCTCCAGGAATATTTCCTTGGCATTCACATCAGGTTTCACAGTTTAGTGGGGATGGGGGTGGGAACTGGGCTCAGTCACACACACCCACAGCAGAGGGGGTGCTGCAGGAGCACGGTTACACCTGATGTTGCAATAACGGACATGAAAAGTGCTGCTATGAAAACAAACAAAGCCGAGCTCAAGCAGGTCTGAGACAGGATGTTCCAAGCCTGGCCTGACATCCTACAAGAGCCCTCAGCTGCCTGCAGTGTTACCAGAGCACTGGAGGGATGGACTGGACATTTCTGACTTATTTATTTTCTAAAACAATAAACCTCTGCATTTCCTAACAAATGAGATCCCTTGTTATTTAACCACAGGTAGTGGGGTGGGAGCTCCGTGTGTCCCTGTGCGCTCGTGTCTGTCCATGGCCTTGTGCGGGTGTGTGTCTGTGGCTCTGTCAGTGTGTGTGTCCATGTGTCTGTCAGTGTGCAGGTCTATATGTCCATGTGACTGTCCAGTGCATGTCCATGTGTCCATCAGTGCGTGTCCATGTGCCCGTCAGTGTGTGTCGGTCAGCCTGTCAGTACGTGTCAGTGTGTGTGTCTGTCAGCGTGTCCGTGTGTTTGTCCATGTCCGCATGTGTGTGTGTGTCTGTGTCAGTCAGCGTGTCTATGTGTCCGTTCATGTGTCAGTCAGTGTGCGTCCGTGTGTCTGTCAGTGTGTCCGTGTTTGTCCATGTCCGTATGTGTGTGCCTGTCAATGTGTCCCCGTGTCAGTCAGTGTGCGTCCATGTCCGTGTGTCCGTCCGTGTGTGTGTGTGTCCGTGTGTCCGTCCGTGTGCGTCCATGTGTCCGTCAGTGTGTGTCCGTCAGAGTATGTCCGTCAGAGTGCGTCCACGCGTGTCCGTGTGTCCATCAGTGTGCGTCCGCACATCCGGCAGTGTGTGTCCAGCAGTGTGCGTCCACGTGTGTCCGTCAGTGTGTGTCCACATGTGTCTGTCAACGTGTGTCCGTGTGTGTCCGTCAGTGTGCGTCCGCGTGTCCATCAGTGTGCGTCCGTCAATGTGCGTCCACGCGTCCATCAGTGTGCGTCCGTCAACGTGCGTCCGTGTGTCCGTCAGTGGGCGTCCGTGTGTCTGTCCATGTGTCTGTCAGCGTGTGTCCATGTGTCCATCCGTGTGCGTCCGTGTGTCCGTCAGTGGGCGTCCGTGT